CACTTTATCATGCGAGAGTATAAAATGTTCGGTGACACCCGAACTTAGCCCTTCCTTACTTGTTTATTTTGAAATTCCCCAAACCGGACAGGCAATATAACCGCGCACCCACCATAACCGAACACATTTCATAATTAGGCTACTACCCCGCRCGAAATACGTGTAAAAATTTAACGATGGGCGTGGCCCCGCCCACTTTTAGAGGAAACCACATATCTTGGGACCTGCTCGACCGATTTCACTCAATTTCGGCATATAGCATTCACATATAATACAATTTGAAATTCCATTTCATGCTTTCACATTCCAGTATAAAATTAGAATAATAATTAATATTAACATCCCTCGTGTTCAGCTGTGTAATTTCGAGCTAGTGTAAATTTGTTTAATTTATATTTAGAAACTGTTGTGAAAATTTTTTAATTAAGTTATCCGTAAAGATAAGTACCCCTGTGATATTTTTCTATTAAAGCAKTTGAAATTTACTTAAATTGTGTGTTGGTAATTTTAATTGATTCCGCCGAGTCACTATTAGTTTGGTTGTTGTTGCTATATTCTAAAATAGGGCAATTGTTGGCGTTAACTTATATTGTTTACCTAAATTTCTTTCTTGTTTATATTCGTTTTCCATCATTACGCTACATTGGTTGTTGCCTTTGATAACTTATATTGCATTTATTAGTAATAAATATTTTTGTCATTTCTCTTTCTACTTTTATTATTTAATTTTTTATTATTTTATTTCAAATTTTTTTATTGCTGTTTATTATCATTATGACGTGCAATTTCCCGAATTGTTCTGTTAAATGCGAGTCGGAACGCTTTGTTTCTTGCTGGCTGTGTGACGGGCTTGCCCATCTGAAATGTGCTGACAGGAAGAATTTTGGATTCTATTCTTGACGGTAACTGAAATTGATTTATTTAAAGTTGGTAAGCAGGCGCGCAATAATTTCAAGGATATTGGCGGTGAGCTTGAAACCCTTACAAATAAGTTTAGGCATTATGAAACGTTGTTTCAATCATTTGAATGCCTAAATGACCAAGAAGAGAATCCAAAACCTTCCAATAAACGTAAACGTCCGTCTGATAAAAAGAATGTCTCCTTCCAATATTAACCTCATCAATCTTTCTTCCCCTTGTCCACAAGGAGAGAAGTTCTCGTCTGTTCAGAATACAGAGAAAGCTGTTACTGAGCATGGTAAGCAAAAACCTTCTCAGGATCCGCTTCCAAATAACTGTATGTCAGGTAGTAAAAATTTAATT